ACAATGAACTGATTCCATATGGTGTTCTTTAGCTACTGAGTAAACTTTCATAGGTGTTCTCTGTTATTACTTACCTCTGGGACATCGAAGCCGCCTTCCTTTGCATCACACATGTCCAGAGATACCAGCCGAAGCTTCGGAAACTGCTCATTTGATATGAATTAAGTAAAAAAATCTCTTGACGTAAAAAACGCATGGAGAGTGCTCGAAATTTACCTTCAACGTAGCATCAAGAAGGAAGCTTTTCTGTATTCCAGAGCCCTTAACAAAGAAAAAGAAAACAGGAACATGGAAACCATTGATAAAGCTTGACACATCAAAGAGTTTATAGTTCTAGCTGAGGCGATGTGACATAGCACTAAGAAAATGGATATATAAAAGAAAACTCACGTTGTGGCGAAGTAAAAGGTCTTCCAGAGCAACGCAACCATAGAGAGAAGCGACACCATTCTCTGTTATACTTCCACATTCCTATCACCCAAATATGGTTAAAGTAGTTATAAAAGCGAGTTACTGTTCTAAAAGTTTTAGGTTGGTAGATCATTATACCTTAAGATTAAAAAAACCTTACGGATTACTACAAGTTTTACATTACTAATAAGCTTAAAGGGTCAAAACAAACCTCTAGATGAAGAGAAATCATTCCCGGCCATCCAGCTGAGATGATAGGTTGACAATCTGAGAGATAAAAATCAAAACAAGAGGTGAGCAAACTTCAGAAATAGCACAGTATTATGAGGCTAGATGACTTGGTTCCCCAGTAAATAAAGATTTCACCTGAATTTAAGTGTAAACATCCTACTAACGAAAGCTCGGTCAAGTTCGGACAGCTTTGTGTGAGAACAAGTAAATCATCATTGGTCATCCAACGAGATACCCTCTCAAGCCTAAGTTTTCTCAGGTTCGGCATAGAGAACTTGAAACTTTGAAGGGATATGTCACCGAAACAATAGGACAAAGCTAACTCTTGCAGGTGCTTTGATGATGTCAGGATACTTGTCAAGGCAGAATCAGATATTTCCTGGCAAACCAAAAATTAGTTCAAAATGGGAAAAGATCAGAGACTCACTTATCTTTCAATAATACTCTTCGAATTTCAAAAGAATCAGAACTACCTGAAAATAGAGGACGATAGACTCTAGCAAAGGACAAGTTGAAGGTAGAAGCTTTAAAGCATCTTCACCTAAGGAAGCACCCAAACCCACACTTATAACTCGTAGAAACGAAGCTGCAGGTCTCAAAGACTCAAGAGAGAAATAAGAAAACCCCCAACCAATCTCAAGTTCCTCCAATCCACTCCCCTTGCTTAAACATTTAAACACCTCTTGACCAGAAAACAATGGAGAGGAATTTTCAGTTCTCCCATCAACTTGTAATTGAAGCAGATTTTTACATCCCCTTGCTTTGAGGCTTTTTAGATTAGGATTTCTGCTAATTACATGAGTAAGAGCCATCCTAGATATCTGTAAAAAGCTCCGAGCATTAATGGGGCTGATGTATTATAGATAATGAATCAGAGCATCACTTAGATAAGGATATGTCCCGTGGAAGTAAGATATACCATACTAACAAATGAATGACTGACCATGGTATTTGAAATATCAAGTGCTTCCAAGGAAGAGCCGGGTAATTCACACAGCACACTGTCTGAAACTTTTGTATCCCTTAAGCAAAGACTCTTCATTTTTTGTGTCTGAGTTATCAACTTTAGAAGTGATGTCTCACTACTTCCTGCAAATGTAACACTAAATTTATGTTAGAGCCGTGATCTTTTACATTAACGAGGGACTGAAATGGCAAAAATACCCACCCTCGCATTTACTCATGTGAAGCATTTGAAGACTGCATGCTAATGAGCTTGAATCCATATGCTCATTGGTCATAGAAATAGTAGCGCATAGTGCCAAAATCGAATTTTCCGAGAAAGAGGTATAGCAAACTATGAGAGAGCATAATTTCTTACACCTCTGTATAACATATGCTATACATGCATCTGAGAGTAGTGCACACCCTTTTATGTTCAGGTAACATAACGAATCACATACTCTAGAGATGCTCCGTAGTTCCATATCTGTTGCAATGCAAAATTGAGGTATCAGCTACGAAAATATACAGTTTATTTACCTTTTAATTAATTAGCAGCAACAAGAAAAATAGATGGGATTTGGATTGTCAAAGTAGAGCATATTTGGACTTTGCTGATTGATACGGTAGATCAAACAATTGGCAGTATAAGAAAGTAGCCAAAAAAAAAAAAAAAAGACTAACCACATATGTCACTTCTACCCTCCAGCGTTAGTCTTGTGATATTCGATAGCGAACAATGACCTTGGCCAGAGTAAAACACCGATGCTTGAACCGGTATTATAGGAGCGAAATCAACTGTTAAATCAACTTCAGTGAGCTCACGAAAATTCTGGAGAAGTTCAAGCATTGTGGACACCTTGATGTTTAAGAGATAAGCAGCTCTCAGTTTTCTTAATGATGGGAATGACTTAGAGAAGCACTTGATCACAGCTTTATAATCAAGCCTCTGGCACTTGGAAATATCAATCTCTTTCACCGATTCGAAAGACAAAATTGGTAAAGTTCTGTGAGATAATTGTTCTTGATGTCTTTCATCGTCATCAGGGTTCTTTAGGAAACTTTTCAAACTCTTTCTCCACCTGAGGTTTGCGAAATACGAGTTAGGCAGTATTGACAGTAGCAGACTGGCTTCATTTAACTGTGGACATCCTGAGAGATCCAATATCTGATTGAGGGAACAAAGGCATAATTAGACAGGACAACATAAAGCTTTCAAGGACTCACCTATTTATCAAAATGAATCAAAGACATCCAATGTCTAAATATATGAAATGTAGGACAGACTTGGATTTATATGTCGTCGTAATGAAAAAGTTGGATGTGGATGTAATACTACTTTAGAAAAAAATTTCATTATAACACAGTACATAAGTGAACTTTATAAGATGCACAACACAAATACTCGTAGAAATTCTATCAAAACTTGAAAAACAATTCCTGACACAACTAGTTAGTCAAATCCAGGAAGAAAATTCATTGAAGAATACATACCTCAGAGTATTCGGTCAGCCGAACTCTAAGATCAGTAGGAGGGCCATCTGTTAGACTATCGACCAAGCATGTGGATGGCATTTTCATTAGTTTAGTCACCAATTCAATGCTTTGATCAGCAAACTTTGAGAATCCATGAGACTTGCTTCTTCCTGAAATATGGGAACAAACTAAACTAAACGACTTTCTGCTAAATCATCAAGTAGGAGATATATCACAGGCATCTGTCATGACATTACCTGCAATAAACCACAGCGGCAAAAGACTAAAACGGACCTGCAATATAATTTCCCAGAAAACAAAAAAAATCCTAAAGTGAAAACAACAGTTCCATAAAGCTAAACATCTTTATTCATCTATGCATAGGCGACAGACCTTCTAAACGTTACCTGTTCCATCAAGTTGATTGTGTTATCTTGACTACTATCCGACAAGTCAGACATTCTTCTGCCGGTATCAAGCCAAACAAGAAGTGCATCAGCAAGATGCATCTCGCTGTCAGAGTTAAGTCAAAGGTGAGAATCTTAGGTATATTTGCACTGATAAGATAGAAAATGGCCACAAACTTACCTGTGTACAGTCAGGTGGGAATGTTTAATGCAACACATCAACAACTCATACGGAACATTTCCAAAATACTTATCAGATTTCACCAACATCTGCAGAAGACAAAAGGATCCGTTATTAGCTACCAAGACTACCAAACTGGAAGAAGTTAGATTTTTTGAAACATAAGATCATTATTTTCTACCATACATCCTACATATCATTGAGAGGATTACACGAGCACACCCAACAGCTACGAGGAAGGATAGATGGGAAGAGTAAGTGGTACATACGAAATTCTTTGCAAGATAGGCCACACAGAGATCTGGTACAAATTCTCCAGCTGTAAGTTATCACCAAATGAATAACGATTTAAAAAAGTTAACTAATTTAACAACTAATAAGAGATTTCTCGCAAGATTCTAACCATGCTCGAGACCAAAACTCCACATCTGAATAAGGTCAGACAATTCTAGTTTCGGTAATGCGGTATCATTCGATAATGCCAACACTGAAAGCCAGCTTTTGCATTTAGAGAGAAGCTTCTCCACCCCAAAATAGAGCGCAGTCTATATATTCGTCATTCAGAATTCGATAATTAGCATGTAACAAGAGAAAAACGAAAAAAGGAGAGCAGAGGATTGATACAAAAATCTAACCTCAAACAAAGGTAAGAAACTAGTGGATGTAATCTCTATATCGTAACCATACAAAAACATGAGAAGATTCAAGAAAGTCTCTGGATTCCATTCAACAGAGATATGATCAAGGCCTGATTCACTGTTACAAATCCAATTTCAATCAATTCATACACACAACACAAAATTGGAAGCAATATATATACACCAAAATACTTGTATATACAATGAAGCAGAGACACATACATACCTGAAGCTTCCGCTTAAAAGACCATGGAAATACGAGGATTCCTGAATAAGCCTGCGTAGAAAACGAAAAACCAAGAGTTCACGAAACAAAACTTGAAATCGAGATTGGGGATGACAAGTATATGAACACTTGCCTAGTTCGATGAGCTCGAACTTTTACTCTTCCGTAAGAGAGTATCTCTGACAAATTCCAGGAAGCAATTTCAGAAGCTGAGATCGAAATATCTTGACTCGAAGAAGATGCGTCGTCTTGTTGATAACATGGATTCTTCACGACGAGAGTCACGAATTCATCGAGTGAGCTCATGAGTGCCATTGTTTTCTGCAACAAAGATTTTTAATCGGTGAATCTAAAAACTCAAACTCCTCTGCTTTTTAAACCTAAATAATCTGGATTTTCAATTTTAATAACCGGAGAAAACCGGTACATCCTCAACTAAACCGGTATTAAAATCATAAACCAAATTGTTTGTCTAATGTAAGATCTTTGGATCTGCAAAATTGAATTGACTTGAAGCGAATCCAATCACCGTGAGATTTCGTGATCATCGGCTGAATTAAAATGCATCACTGGGTTCAAGCTTCTTCTTCCGATTTCAGTGGAACTCCTCCGCAGGCGCGGAGGTATAATTCTCTTATTCTATATTTTGTTGCTTTTTGAATTTTCAGCTGATCTTGTTGGTGTTTGTGTATCAGTGGACATACAGCTGTCAATGTCGGAAAATCCATGGTGGTGGTGTTCGGTGGTCTCGTCGATAAGAAATTCCTCAGTGATATAATTGTTTATGATATCGGTAACATCATCCTCTGATCCCTTTATTTTGGCTTCTCGATGGTTCTGTTTTGTTGAAAGCTTCCTAATTGTTTTAATTGCGATTTACTTGACAACTTTCATTAGGATTATTCAGTCTAGGATTGTCAAGGAAGATGCTTTTTATGAGTTACGCTCCTGGATTGCTTTGCTTGTGATGACTAGTGTTTCTGGTAGTCTAGCGACTGTTAGCTTGCTTAGGGTGGTGCTTCATCAAAGTTGGTTTTTTTATCACTTAGTATTTGCGAAAATATAGAAAAATACAAACTTTACATGAGATTATTGGATCCGGTGTTGAAGATGAATCAGATGGATACTTTCTTACTTGTTTCGCTAGTTTTTTTTAGTACTTCATATTTTGAGTATTTTTTTCTCCTTCTCCTTGTTTTGAGTATCAGTAAAAATGGTTCCTTTATGGTCTTCAAGTGTACCATCGTTGATCATGTGAAAACTGCTTGTCTTATGGTTGTTTTTTTGTTCACCCTGTCGACTAGAAAACAAACTCTGGTTTGAGCCAGAATGTACTGGCAGCGAGTCTGAAGGACAAGTAGGTCCTACACCGCGTGCATTTCATGTTGCCATCACAATCGATTGCCATATGTTCATCTTTGGTGGACGTTCTGGTGGCAAAAGGTACACACTTTATACTTTTCGTTATAGCGGCTATACATTCTATTTTCACCGGCCTTAACTAGCTTGTTTCTATAAATCAATTTCAGGTTGGGGGACTTCTGGGTTCTTGATACAGGTACGTATGTAAGTTTTAACAATGTCGTGTGAGACATGTATGTAAGTTATACAGCTTGTTTCTATAAATCAATTTTCGTTACTCTGCTTCGGCACTTCTATGATATCTCTCTCCATGACTCTGCTAACATTTGCTGCAGATATATGGCAGTGGTCTGAACTGACTAGCTTCGGCGACTTACCTACACCTCGTGATTTTGCTGCTGCTGCTGCTATCGGGAACCAAAAAATTGTATTGTAAGTATCAAACCTAGACGCCATCATCTTTTAGGTTTATATTTAATCTTGCTACCTGCATAGCTAAACCTAGATCGTTGGCAGGTGTGGCGGCTGGGATGGTAAAAAGTGGCTGTCAGATGTATATGTTATGGATACAAGTGAATCATAATCTTTCTCTTCTAGTTCAGTTTTGCAATAAACTGTTTTTATATGCCGATAATGCTAAGTTTCTTGGTATCCATTAGTGTCCCTTGAATGGATGGAGCTGTCGGTTTCGGGGTCATTGCCACCTCCTAGATGTGGTCATACAGCCACCATGGTTGAGAAACGGTTACTTGTTTTTGGTGGCCGAGGTACTACACCAAAAATCTTGTAGATTCTTTCTGTTGGCTTCCGAATTCACCTTGATTTCGTTCCTTGAATATGTTAAGGTGTTTGGTATAATCACTACAAAGAAAACATTGTTACTCAAGTCCTTTTCCCCTTATTTTACGGAACATCGGAACTGATAAGTGTGATTGCTGAATAATCAGACTCCTGAAAGATATAAAAATCAAAGGAATAGGTCATGATCACAGTTTGTTTGGCTTGAGTCAATAACAACAAAAGTGAAAATTGGTGTGTAAATATGGTTATCTTTGGCAGGAGGTGGTGGCCCAATCATGGGTGATTTGTGGGCTTTGAAGGGTCTGATAGATGAAGGTTCATCCTTATTTTCTTAGAAATGCATCGACTGTAGTAGGTTACCTCTTAGTTTGTCTTCTTATTGATCATATTGTGGTTTACCTTTGTTGTGGAAGAAAGAGCGTGAAACACCTGGATGGACCCAACTCAAGCTTCCTGGACAAGCTCCATCATCTCGATGTGGTCATACAGTTACATCTGGAGGGCATTATGTATGTCTCTGTTGTTACTCTGTTAATCAATATGCTATTCATTTGTTTTTTTCTTTCGGGTTCATGTGACCTTCATCACTCACATCATTAAATTTGTTTATGCAGCTTCTGTTGTTTGGGGGACATGGAACTGGTGGATGGCTGAGTCGTTATGATGTCTATTATAATGATACTATAATTTTGGACAGAGGTAGGTTTTTGCTCACTCTTCTCATTAGATTGTTCTAGGATCACGAAAATTTGTCAAAGCAACCCACAAATCCGAAATTCACCGAAAAAAATTACAATAGTAGGAAATGATTAACTGTGATGGAATTTGTCATTTTTATCGCTGTGCAGTTTTTTCAATGCATTGTTACTGTTTCTGCTAAATTTTTGTCTTCACATTCCAGTAACTGCTCAGTGGAAGCGTTTACCAATGAGCAATGAGCCTCCACCTCCTCGAGCTTACCATACCATGACTGGTATTGGGGCTCGTCATCTTTTAATTGGTGGTTTTGATGGAAAATTGACCTTCGGTGATCTCTGGTGGTTGGTTCCCGAAGGTATTTTATTCTTATTTGTACTGATGCCAACTAAATTATCATTGTGTGTACACACATCATCATTATTATCTTTGGATATATTTCATATGTTAATATTCTTTAGTGTCGCCAGACAAACTAATCATCCTGTTGGTCATAGATTTTAGGCAATTAGCTACTCTTCAGTTTCTAGCACGCTCTTTTTCTTTATCTAGTTTGTATTGGAAGTTATGAAATTTACCCATCTGATTAAATTTTAGTGAACTTTTTAGCCTTCTGAAAATTTCTTATTTGTGTTTAAAGAAAGAACTATGTGGAACTCTAGATAGAGACCTAATTCCAACCTTCTCCACTTTCACCACAACCTCACCCTTTTTTTTTCGCTTTTCTCAGATGATCCGATAGCCAAGAGGTCTTCTGTACCTCAACTTATAAACCCTCCTGAAATTAATGAGTCAGAGAGAGAATTGGACAAGGTAATTTGAGTTCCTACATATCATCTTATGTGTTTCTTGCCAATGCAGTCAAATTAGCTTTTCAACTTGTTTCTTTTAAAAAAAACTTGTTAAAACAATCGAGAGCCTGGTCACGGCAGGAAAGGGGACAAGAGGGATGCAGTATTGTTGAATTGCAAAAGAAAATGGGAATATCTGTTTCATCAGGGTTGCGCCTTCAAATTCCCGAGGAGTCAGAAGATCAAGAATTCGTTGAATTAGGAACAAGATTAATTGAGGGAGATGTAGTTGATGACCGGGCCTCTATGATTCAGGTGATCTTTCCCTTCTCTATTTCGGTATGTATGATTGTGCTATCCTGTACTAAAATGCTTCCCAATGAAAAGATGGCCGCTCAAGCACTTCGTCAGCATTGGAAAGAGTCCACTCCAAGAACTTTACAACTAAAAGATCTTGGTTCCTTACTTCGAGATTATCAGCGTTCTTTCTTACCCGAAAATTCACGTGAGTTCTTTCTTACCCATGCCAATTGTTTTGGACAAAGTTCTTGTTTACTTTGATTATCTTTGTATGTCTAGTCAGATGGTTGTTCTTCGGAATCACCACATGGCATGGCAGTAAGATAATTTAGATAAATCCTGTGGGATTTTAGGAGTGACATAAAAAATTGACATGGATGTCATCTTTGTTTTGAATATGCCCTTGAGACTTGTTAATGCGAAGAAATTATCGAAACTGATTCATTTCTTAAGGTTGTAAAAGTTTTGTTTTCTCTACCCCTTCTAAAAACTATTGCATGCTATGAAATTTTACATTTGCTTCTTCCTTTCCTTCACACATGTTTATTTCCATCGTTGTGGCGAGGTTCTCAGTACACAGAGCAGCTTAACATCTGCTGATTTTGGCCTCCCTGGAACGAAGACCTTTACATTTTATCATATGAAAAGCTCTTCCGAGGTAATACCACATGATTTCCTCCTGTAATTAGCTCTCTTGAACATTTGAAACCAATTAATCTACGTGTTGAATCATCGTAAAGACCCTTGCACGAATCTCACCTTGAATTATGTGGCTGCCTAAATAATCTATTTTTAAGTTGATTTGAGCACATGTACTTTTTTTAGTTTTCGTATCTGCACTCAGAATACCCAATACGCAAGAAGCCCAAAAGAAATAGATGTTACCACTGTGACGCATAACACCATTGACAATATGCATTACTCTATCTCTTCCTTATTTTTCGGTCTACATCTTTTATGCATCTTAACACACATCATGTTCGTAATTTAAACATGCACTCTGACATGTCTAAGTCCATTGCTATTCTCAGTTGCGGATTAATGACATCCCGAAGTTGCTGGAAGAATACAAAACCCTTCTAATCTGATTGAGGAGCCGCCACAATACTCACAAGGAACAAAACCATCTTTAGGTATGAATTTCTTAAAGCCCTGAGGCAAACCTTTTTTCCATTACATTCTTTTACACCTTTTCTCACTTTAATAAAGGAATTTTAATCCATAAATGATCCAAAACCTCAACAGTCAAACAAGTTCCCATGTAAAAGGTAGAATTGATTATCGCAAGGACCCAACAGTCTTGTTGATATCTTCCAGCTTCTTCACCCTTACTCTTTCACTTTCAGCCAGTAGCTGCCAAGAAGATCACCGAGATTGCGATCAGCACCACAACTATACACAAAGCTAAAAGTCTTAGGGAATCAGAGCTGGGATAGAGTACGGTTGATTTACCTCCATTAAGATTGAAACAAGGTGAGATTTCTCTTTGTTCTTTTCGTCGAATGCCTCCTGGATCTCTTTGTATTCCTTCTCCTGACATTTATTTATCATCTGGTGTGACTATTGATGGATATAAAAGAGTTATAGAGGTAAAAGTAAGCAGGATTGTTAATAAAGACCCTTATATCAAACCTTCTTCTGGCAGCTCTGAGACAAAGATTTGATTTCTCTATTTGCCATCTCGATTTTCTTTCTTACCATCCCCACTTCCTTCCTCATTGGATCTCCCATGATCTCTAGCCCCTTTGAGACAATGTTGATGTTATTTAATACGGATACATAAGTTTTCATAGAAAGTCCACTAGCATTCATATGCATTTTTGAAGAGTATGTTTTGTATTGGTGCTATAGCTTATTTTGAAAAGGGTGTTTTCTGTTGGTGTTAATAGCTTGTTAAACTTACTTCCAATGTCTGTGTCAAACTTCTTGTGGCTTCTTCTGCAAACCCAAGTCGCTGTTGAATCTTGTCCTTAACAGCCATCTTCTTTCTCTCGATCTCTTCTTCTCGGGCTTGAAACTTTCGCCATATCTCTTCTTCTTGGTTCTCATCCATTGGTATCTTGCTTTTGGTCGAAGCTGTAGCTCCTGAGTTGGTGCTATTCATGTTCTTCTTTGTTCCTTTGGATTATTTCTCTGCTCCAAACACTTAAACTCTATTTATCTGCTTTCAGTGTCTGCTTTCTTTCTTTTTTTGGGCTTTTGCTTTTGCTTCAACCTTCTTAAAGGAGAATTTGCTTTGCCGTGACACCAGTCCAAAAAAAAGCACGTCCCGCCAAAGAAAAAGTAAAGAAGAAGATTTTTCTCTAAATTCCTTAAAGAATATATTCACCAACTTGGGTGAGATTTTATAACTTCTAAAGATGATATTGCTGCCAACTTCTATGATGCTGTTACTAAGACTCTTTTAGATATAGAGTTAGATTCGAATTTTATAAATTCAGATTCTGGATCAATCTGGTAAGCGAAAAAAAAAAAAAAGAGAGGCAAAACTTAACCTATTAGAAGACTCAGAATAAATAGATTAATAGCTTAACAGAAAAGTTTACTGTCTGCTTAGACCTTATTGTCTTTCACTATCCTCTAAAACAACTCGAACTCGAGATGATCTCCGATGGCTTTACATTCAAGATACCTATTATTTCCCTCAGGAGAAGTCGCTTCCGTGGCACCATTGTCATAGATATCTGGCAGCTCAGGCGGTATGGCGCATCGGATGAGAGCCCAATTCAATCCTTCAAAGAAGGGATGTCTTTTGATCTCTGCAGTTCCCTTCTCAGACCCGAGACGACTCTCTGGATCCTTCACCAGCAGCCTTCTGATCAACTCCTTTGCCTGGAAGCTCACGAGCGGGCTATCAGGAAACTTGAGGTTCTGGTATACAACATTGGACAGTGTCTCCTCATTGTCGTAACCTTTGAAAGGTGTCTTCCCATACAAAAGCTCATAGAGAAGGACCCCGAATGTCCACCAGTCTACTGCAGCACCATGTCCTTCTCCTTTAATGATCTCTGGGGCCAAGTACTCGTGCGTTCCCACAAACGAATTTGATCTTGCTTCGGTTGGTTCAGCCACAAGCTGAGGCAATGATCTGAACTGTTGTGTCAAAAGATCAGGCCTTTTCGGTTTTCTTGGTTTTTGGTTTCTAGCTTGGGTTGATAAGAGCCTAGGGCTGAAACATGGGACTCGACATGATGGTTCAATACATAGAGGTTGTATGCAATTGGATGTGTTGTATGGACCCGACATCCTTGCGGGATCTTTCTCGGGTGGAGAAGTTGATCTGAGAAGAGTAGGGTTCACCGCACATCTGAGTGAGAGGTCAAAATCTGTAAGCATGATGTGACCATCTTCTCGGACTAGAATGTTCTCTGGTTTCAAATCTCGGTATATAACACCAAGCATGTGTAAGTACTCTAGCGCAAGGAGGATTTCTGCTACATAGAACCTGTCAACAATATCATCAGTTTTACTGAATATTACCACTGAATTTGCTAACCAGACAAAGACTTTGTGAGCATTACAAATTCATAACAACAAAGTGAATTGTAATCTTACCTAGCTGCGGGTTCGGAGAAACACCTGCTGAGCTGTTTCTGCCTCAGGACATGAAGATCACCACCAGGACAATACTCCATCACCAGACACGATAAATTATCTGAAGTAAATTGCGCATACAAGGTAGGCAGAAAAGGATGGTCCAACATTTTAAGGATTGCCCGTTCTGCCTGTGCCCTTGGTGTCTTTTTCCTTCGGGCCAAGAACTCGTTGTCCATGACCTTTATGGCAAACAGGCAGTTTGTACCAACCAGCTCAGCAAGATAGACTGTTCCGATATCTCCACAACCAAGCTTTTTCAAAAGGTTGAAATGTCGGAGTCCTAGAGAGCCATACTGCAACTTAACATGCTTAATTGCTTCCCATCTCACATCCATAGACATGTGAGGTTTATTGCCACAGCTAATCCTGCTCAGATTGCTCTCCTCACTCATGCTTGTGCTGCTGCTATAATCCCCTAGGCTATTCTTTGAGCTCAACGAGAATTCAAATTTTTCGTTGGAATTTGGATTCTCTCTTATCTGTTCATCCGCATCACCTTTTCCACTATAATTGCTTGGAGAGACTTCTTGTTTCTTGACAATAACAGCTTCACCGCTATCACTAACCTCACAAGAATCAGAGGAACCCTTGTTGGCCTCTTTATTACACTTCACAATGCGAATGAGACGCGCGTTTGCGAGTGATTCTTGATCTGCTTCTATACTAACACTCTTATCAGTACTATGACTAGTATTAGAGGGCGGGTGGTTTTCAGTGCTGGTGCTCTTTACCGCACAGTGGCATCTCTGGCACAGAAGTTGACTTGCACTAGGCTCTAAGGAAGTATCGACTTCCTCGACCATTTTTGTAGCAGAAGCTACAACAATTTTTAGCTTCTTTGTAAGCAATATCTTCTTCTTTGGCCGCGGTTTGGGACGTGGGATATTTCTTGTTACCTTGCTTACCGGTTTGCTCTTCTCTGTTCCTGAACTAGGTGAGTTATCCAACTTTCCTTTTAACCCTGAGCCCAAAGCGGTTGGCTCACTTTTCACTCTAGCTGATGAGACGATGCTCCTGTCTAGCTCTTCAGCATCAACTTTGCTGCCAGAACAGGAAGGCAGTGAGGTAACATGTTTGTCTATTTCCACCAATTGATCTTCAATGACCACATGAGGAGGAGATGTAGGATTCTCATCTATCTCTATCTCATAATCTCCACTGCCAGAACTGAGACAAGATCCAGATTTGTTGGATTTACACATTGATGCATTCTCCAGCATTTCATATCCCACTGTCTTTAATCCCGAGCTATTTCCAAGTACGTGGAGAAGGATTTCAGCCTGAGATGGTTCAGAAATGAAGTTAAAAGGCTCTGTCTCAAGGACATCAAACCGCTGAGGTACACTCTGGGAGGAGCTGGGTATATCGTTTACCGGCGTCAAAGATATTTCAACCAAGCTTTTACCCTTATCCACAGGAAGCCCAGACCTGCCGGTAGATTCACTTAAAACTTGTCTGTAAAGACTCTTTATCCTGTCTGCTTCAGAAACCCTCGGAGATGCAGCAGCAGATTTTGATAAACGTTTCTGGGAAGCCATTTCTGATGCCTTGGAGATGCAAAGATCTCTCAGAGCCTGCTTCAGTGATATTGAATCAGAGGGGCCAACTCTTGGTGATCGAGGGGTTCCCATGGGATAGGGCTTTTTCATAGCGCATTTTTTTGAAGGGCTTGTGCTCCTGCTAGTACCAGCACTTGCGCTCGTCTCAAGATGATGGAAAGAAGAGCCCATCACTCGTCTGGGTGATGGTTTTATAGTTATAGACTGGAAAAGCTGATCAATATCATACTCCATAGAACCTTGGTACCCTGACTTGAGTGCAGGACGCTGCTCCATATCTTTACTTGATCCCAAAGGTGACATACAATATCTGCTAGAATGTTTGGCCAACCTGACCACATCCTTCTCCTCAACAATTTCACAGGAACCAGCAAATGATCCCATGTTAATGACTTACTTTACAACAGTGGACAGCTCCTCATTCCAAGACTTGGTTTTTGTAAGACCGTGAGAGACTCATCTTCCTTGGTTCATCTTAAAGATTCCAGTACAACACCCTGCAACAATCACAAGAAGAGACCTTATGGCTTATTTTAAATAAATCACAGAGCAATATACCAAAGGAAGAGAAATACACCCTGCAACAATCACAGAGCTGTATCTATTGAGTAAAAGGGAAGACGAAATGATGAACAAAGTAAGGAAAGGGAAACAATAGATTTAAAAAGGAAATGAGCAGTGAAAAGTCAGTATAGTTATAGACTCAAATGATGAACCCTACACAAGTACAGATAGAGATTAGTTACTTTTAGACTTTAATTAACAAAAAAAGACATCTTTGTAGGGAAACCAAAACTTTTAATAGAAAGAAATCCATCAAAACCACAAGCCAGTTTCTTCAAGTCACTTCAGCTAATGAAAATGTAAGCAAAACATTAACCAAACCTAACTAGAGAGATGAGCAAATTCAAACCCATTAAAATGTGAAATCAAAGCAAAAAAAAATTAGCAGCCTCGAGATCCCAGATCTCATGAAGCTAAGAACAGTAGCTTAAGTGAAGATTCAACTTTTAAAAAAACATGGAGGATGTCAAATATTTCAAATCCCCCTGAAGACAGTCCCCAAATCTCATCAAAAGCAACAAAGATCGAAAAATGCAGAAGCAAGAGTCAGTTACAAAGACGTACCCACTAACATTAGGAGGCAAAATAGGTTCTAGAGAGTGATTACAGAGCTCAAGGAGACTCCCAAAAGAAACCTAAAGCCTAAAGGCCTGAGCTTGAAGAGAGAATCTCACAGAGAGATAGAGTAAACAAAAAAATTGGAAAATTTTTCTTTAAATTTGTCGGGGATTTTGGTGTTTAGTGTTTCGGTGTGATGATAAAGTTGAAATGTGAAAGTGTGGGTCCCAAAGCATATGTTTTCGCTGAAAAATTACGTCCATATTCGTCGTTTCTTTTTTTTATTTTCTTTTCGTCTTCATTACATTTCGTCTTCATCAATCTCTTTTTTCCATTATTATTTTCTACAAATATATTTGATCTATGGTCAGTCTTCGTTGAGCGTGCAGTACAAAAAATGAAAAACAATATCAATCACAAGGTGAAAATTAATGGCATGTGGCAAAATGCGAATCTTGGCTTTAAGTGGTTGTGTCTTTTTCTCGAATGTGACACAATAACATGAATCTTAGTGGGCCTGAACAATCGTTATTTAAGCCCAGCCCAAAAGGAAGAGTCCTGTAAAAATGGTGGTGACAAGGAACAGAAATCAAGAGTGTTGACGTTTGTATATGCTCTAAAATGTTACTTATCTAATCTAGAACAAGAACGGATCATAGATACATCATGTTTTTCTTATCAATACGGCACCAAAGATTGAGTGGTTCAATAGTGAAAGAAACGATAAGGATAGTACATAGAACAAGTTACACCATAAGACAAAACAAGCACCAATAATACAAGGAACCTAAAACATCGAAATCATTCCAAAAGCAGAAATTTTCTTTCTTGAATCAAGGAGAAACTCCTCCGTTTGCAAGCTTTGCGGTGAAAGTTAGTTTCTTGATACTCAATTGCAGCTCTTCAACAAACAAGGCCTTCCATTCGTCGATTAACTCTTTTCTTTTTTCAGCTCCAATGTTTTCCAAATTCTGAAGCAGCAATTTTTGTTGATATCTACCTAAACTTTGAAAAAATGTATCTGCCTTTAGTACCTCCTGCAGAACACCCAACTCAACCACACCATCTTCTTCACTCTTATCTTTCTCACCACTATAATCTAAACTATGAAACGATATCCCAGAGTCAAGTGTGTCCTCCATATCACCTAACTCATCCACATCATCTTCTTCACTCATCTCTTGCTCACCATTATCAATCTCGATACTCACCCGCTCTTGCTCCACACTAGGCACATCCTTATCCGCTTGCTCCTCACAAGGCACATCCTTATTCTCTTGCTCCTCACAAGGCACATCCTTATTCTCTTGCTCCTCACAAGGCACATCCTTATTCTCTTGCTCCTCACAAAGCACATCCTTACTCGAAACAAGAAACCAAGATCAATAATTCATGTTTTGAGGTGGTAATAAGAAGATTTGTAGGAACAGAACAAATTAAACTCACTCACCTTGGCTTGGTCCAATTTCTCTTTCTCACCATTATCAATCTCTATACTCACCCGCTCTTGCTCTGCACAAGGCACATCACTACCCTCTTTCTCCCCAGAAGGAAAATCCTTATTCAAAACAAGAAAACAAGATCATTAATTCATTGCACATCATTAGTAACACAAAAATTTTACATTATGTTTTGAGAATGGTAGAAAAACAGAACAAACACACTCACCTTGGCTTGGTCCATATTCTCATTAGAAACATTCTCTGTTTCATTCTCAGCCCATATGATCAATGAAAGTTTGAAGATTTCATAATCATCAGTATTAGTAAAAGAAAGTTCTTCCCCATCGTTAGATCTCCCCTGATTGTATGTAAACTTTCTCTTCAAGCTCTTGACCTTATCAATGAGCTGCTTTCTCGAAAACTTTGCTTCTACAGAATCTTTGATATAACGGTAAAAGGCATCCCAGTCAGATCTATAGCTCAATTTCGTTTCATTTTCATAGTCCACAATACCCTTTTACACACACAACACAGAGTAGTAAAAATAGTTAAAAGAGAATAAAGAAATAAACTTAGAGAAGCTGCAGAGAATTTACTAACTAACCCCGAGAATGACAAGCTCATCGTTTTTAGACCAGTTCATCGAAGAAGACAAGCTCAATGGTGTTGTCGTCTTCGTCGTTGTCTTTAGTTGCTTTCTCCTCCTGAACATCGCCTCAACTTCATCGTCACGGTTCCTCGTGAGGGAGTCATCGATGGAACCAACAAGTCTCTTCGTACCAACCATTGGATCGGTGGTTAAAGGTCAAAACTTGGTGAAGTTATAACAAATCTGAGAAAGCTAAAAACCCTAGTTTTTGTTGAGATGAGAAATGAGTCTCTCTCTATCAAAGCACAATCCTTTTGTTTTTCTTTGGCGACTATTGATATATTCTCCAGCAGCAGGAAGTCCGAGAGTCCAAAACGCAAGATGACTAAAATACCCTTTCTCCATTCAAAAATCACAGAATATCAATAGTCGCCAAAGTCTGAGGTCTCAAGAACTGAAAGTTGTTGCCATTTGCTCTGTCAGAGTTTTAGTAACCCTTTTGACAACAGAATATGCCTCTCTTATTAACCTCAATGATTACAGAGTTTTTGAAAACCTTTATAGTCTACAAAAATAATATCGTAATTACAATGCTAAGAGATATATTTTGATCTTTTTTATTATACATTCACACAAGGAGTGTGGACCTATACAAAAAAGTTGGGAGGATCAGAGAGAGTCTTGGTTAAATAGGTTATAACCTGAAATGAGTGAACTGAAAGCAAAGGCAAGGAAGGTCAAGAAGGACATAGCAATCGAGGCACTTGCCATCTCTGTGAAATCGTCTTTTCCCCAGTTTGAAACCCAATCATCAACGCGAGTGACTGCTGCTGTTGAGGCACACATAAGCAGATATGCAAGTACCTGATTGCACAAACAAAAAAAAGCAACTACTCTTCTTCAGAACACAAACCTTACGTACTTCATAGTTTGATCTAAAACATTTTGCGGGAGACTTAAGACAGCTTGAAATTTTCGAAAAAAAACTTCTGCAACGAGGGGAGTAATTTGGTCAAACGAGAATGACAGAGTCACTTTTCACCATTTGTTCCTAACTATAAGATAAGTCCCATTCAACCTATACCGCTATGTAGCTAAAGCAAGAGGAACCAAAAAGTGTTTTTCTTTGCCTCACAGGAGACAGGGTAACACCAGCTAAAAGTGCAAGTCAAAATATCAGGAATAATCTATAACCAAGTTGAGCCAAGATCATACAAGAACTAAAGTAACAAAGGAATACCATAGAGGGCACAAGATAAGGCTCTTTAGAATGGCGAATGATAGTAAGTTAATGACTTGCCTGATCTATAATGAACTCAAACAGAGGTCGAAGGTGGTGGCTGATCAAATGCTTCTCTTTGACAAGATGGTACGCTAAGTCACATGCTTGAAAACTCGCATATATAAAAGCAACCACGTTCACAGACAGACAAAACCTGTCACAGATATCAGAAGATGACACATAGATATCAGTTTAGTCTCAAAATCAAAGCATAAATAAACTGACTTCAAATGTTGGACAGAAACAACAACTTGGAAACTGCAAATGAATTCTTACGATCCAACAAATAAAAAATCAATGTTAAAAGGAACAAAATTTACTGCCTTCAAGGCCTTCACCAAGTTCACCCAAAACATAAACTTGGACCACGCAAGCGTTGAAGACAATTAACATGTACTAAAACTAAAGTAATCCAAATTGCTTATCAAATACACAACACTAATGATAAAACCCTAAACTAAATCCTGAACCCAAATTCAAGAAACATCACCATATGAGAAAAAAATAAGAAGCACAAACACAACAAATCATACCTGTACTCCTTGTAACGATCGAAAGAATCACCACTCCAACCTTTAGTTTTATCAGCAGCCATGATTGAGAACGAAATCAAAGCCAACACAACCTCACTCAACCGAAACCCTAAAGCTACAAACTTTACAATCTCTTCCCTCCTAGACCTTCTCAAAATAGCCAAAACAGCTCCAGATCGTTGCCCACTACTTCTCCCAGAACCAACTCTCGCAGTCTTCCTCGTTGGAACCACTTCTTTCACAGAGCGATTGTGATTATGAACCACCACTATTGGAGATGGAGTTTCCTCAATCTTCACCGGATTCTTGTTTCTCCTACTCTCGGGTCTACGTTTCTCATCTTCCTTCTCCGAATCACTGGAATGATCAAGAGAATGTGGCGGCGATGGAGAAGAAGACAAGTGAGTAGTGGAGTTATCGAAAGCTACTATAGCCATTGAAGTATCTGACGGAGGTGGAGATTTCTCCGTGGAAATTGAAGAAGGTGACATCGACGGCATCGTCTTCTTTGGAGATCTCATCGGAAAAATCAAAACCTTTGAACCGTATTTAAGGAAATCGAATTTAGGAAAAAGCTTGAAATTGAAGCGACAAAGAACAAAAGTGAAGTCATGATGAGAATCAAACAAAGAAAGAAGACTTTGCAAGATTCTTTGTCTACTTGTCCCTGTATTCTTTTTGTTTTTCGTATAACGCCCCATTAGTTTTTACTTTTGAGAACTCGTACCTAAAAGTTTTATTATTATGCCCCTAAAGTTTTGATTTGTTTTTTTGGACCCCTTGGTTTTGACTCTAGCTAATAATTTTAAGTGGCCTGGCCGGAATTTGATTGTTGCATTTTATTATTAAAATTTAAAAGACATTTCATAATTCTTTTGATAATTGTTGAATTTTGAATTAGTTGATTTAAAACTGTGAATCAGGAAGAAGAAGAGAAAATACAGAACGCCATCCTTGATCAGTGATATGAACATTGTCCCAAAAGAAGAATGATTTTGGATCTTCGCAAAGACTGTACAACTTTTTACCACTCAGGCTTATATCTCCACAAGAGGTACCTCGTTTTGTAGCACAACATGCCTTCAACGGATCCGGAAATACCGAAACTCCTGCCCAAGTTAAAACATTCATTATAAATTCTAGATTTGATTTTGGTATATATCTTTCTGTTTAATCTATCAAAGACGTGATCACTTGTGTTTGGATGGATCATTTGATTATGATTCTAGTTGCAAAATAAATAAAAAACTAATGTACCTGGAACTCCTTTGTTCTTGAATATTGTAACAAAAGCATTGTAGAGGTCAAACATGAGGAAACTTTTATCATCATTGTTAATCTTCTTATCGTTTAGTTTTATCAGTCCTTTGCGGAGAAGACTGTTGTGGAGGTGCGTTGAGGTGTCGTTGGTGTCGCAGCCTTTAGGAGTGACAAGCAACGGCAAACATTTCTGCGGGGGCGATAAAGCCACCAACACCTTTCTTACTCCAAAATCCTTAATTCGCTTCACATCTAACAAAATTTGTTTCACTACTCTCCTTATGAGTGCTGGACGACCCTGCCAAATTTTATATTTTCAAAAGAAATCGAAAAATGTTAGTTTTTAATAATATATAAGTTCATAATCATCATCATACATATTCAAATTCATCAAGTTATCCTAAAAAAAAAATTGAAATTAAACCAGCTTTTATACATTTTTTGTTTGATTTGTTCACAAAATGAGGAAAATATGTTTTTAGGAAATTAAAATATATGGATCAAAATGGTCAACCAATAACCTATTTTGATCAGTTTTAACAACCCTAGCTGGAAAAGAAACGGTATTGTACCTGTTCAGTACCATTACGTCTGTTGTAAGTAAGGTAGTCATTGCCGACGATGCTAAAGAAAGCGACGGAGGAGTTGAGATCGGCCGGTGAATAAACATTTCTCCTGAGGAGTTGTTCAAAGAAATCGATCTGCACACTAGCGTTAGGAATTAATTTGAACATTGTCTCAAACACGCCGGCTCCACCATATGCGAAATTCATTCCTCTTTTCACAACTAGTCTAGGTCGTCCGTATTTCCCCCATTTGTGTGTGATCGGCGTTCTAAGTCCAACATACTTCGCTACATGTTATAATATGAATTATTGAGATATGTTTTTGTACGCAAATGACTAGTACCACGGTTTTATTTCGCTGTTTGTATGTATATATGAATACAATGTCTAAGTACAACAAATCTTTACCCATGTAAAAGTTTTCTCAAATCGCTATAGAGTTTTTTTTTTTTTTTTGCTAAGCTAGCTATAGAGTTTGGCAACCGATTTACGTTAAACTAGAGAGTAGAGATATCTTGCATTTGTGGGAGTGAAAACGTTCGAGTAAATAATTATGTGGTCAATATTTAAAACAAACTAGAGTGAACTCTTGATTACTATAATATAACAAAATTTATTGATCACTTCCGTTTCATTATATAAGAGATGCAATGCAAATGTATGTACAGCTAAGACATATCTGAAGTAAGAGTTTTTTGCTGAGTTTGCAAGCTGTTTACGATAGGAATTATAAATGAGAAATTGCACCCTATAACCTAAAAAAACAACAAAATTAAATATTTAACCTCTAACCCCTCTATTCACTTTCTTTATCTTCCTATCTCTCTCTACTTTCTTTCTAAAAAACTAATTTTCTTTTTTTTTGGGTTATTCACCTAAATCACCCATTATAAATATACCTAATATTTTGTTTGGTAATCTGTCACAATAATTTATGAATGCATCATATCATCACAATCACAGGTGCAAAACTTTAGTATTTTCTTGTTATTATGTACTTTGGTATGTGATTTTTATTGGCAAAAGAAAAAACTTCATACCGAGATAATCAGTGGAGACGCGACCATCGGCGAACCGCCCGGTAGGCCATCCCGGGAAAGTGATTCCATTGGGAAACCTCCACGAAGGAGCGATCAGGACAGGTGTGTTTCCGGTGTCTGCATACGAGTCTCCGAACACAAACAACTTCTTAGGTTTGAAACCAAAAATGCCATCTTTTTGTGTCTGCTCGCTAGATGGAGAAATTGAGCCGTTTACCTTTATGTAGTCTGCTGGAACGTATCAAAAAGAAAAAGAAATTAAAGCGAATAAAACTGATTTTATACAAATTAATTGCTGTAATTTGATATACGACACATAAATTTAGCAGATCAAGAAGAAGAAAATGAAAGCTATAGACTAATACCTGATAGAAGAATCAGACACGAGAAAAGAAACCAAGGAGTGAGTTTAGTTATGTTCATGATGGTCGAAATTGTTTTGTGTGTCTTTTTTTTGGCATGGAAAATATATAGGCGAGGCTAATTAAGGTGTGTGTCTTAGATTTTAATTATGGCGTACGGTTAATAATTTAGCGGTTTCCATTGAATTAATTAATTAATACTCCTATTTCGTTTCTCTGGCTTCATATTTTAGATATGTTTCCTTCTTTTACATAATTTTTATAAAATTTCTTACCAGTTTAATTTTGTTGAAGATTTTTTTTCCTATATATAAAATATAAACAAATCTTTAAAATTGGTAAATGAAATATGCCAAATAATTTAGATATTTACATTATTTTAAAGAATTTGTTCATAATTTCTAATTTTATATCACCTTGATTATGAACAAAGAAGTTATAATTTTTTTACCAGAAAAAGAAAACATTGCTTTCATATTAAATTTAAAAAAAAATAAAAATTGGTTTGAGTTTGACTCTTCAATTCATCCATTAGTGGTCATATAAAATATGAAATATATGTTTTGATAAGATTGCTATGAAAGTTATTTGAAGCATTTTCTTGTTTTTGGAAATTATACAAAACTTCTAAATATCACCTAATATACACAAATAGATTATTATTAGGGAAACAAAACAAACACTAGATTTTTGTTTGTTTGAGTCTTCATCATCAAGTGGTCGTATAAAGATAAATATATTTTTAGACGTTTTATATTATTTTTAATTATTGTGAAAACTTCTAATTGTAATCCAATGTCAACAGAAAGAGAATAATTATTTGAAGAGGAAACAGTAGTTCATTTTGTATTCATTGATAAAATGGTCATAAGAATATGAAAGACGTTTTAAAAATTTAAATAGTTTTGAAGGAGTCAAACACTTCCTATTTAAGTCATTGAGAACTCTTTCAACATATACTTTTATCTACCGAAACTCTCTTTTTATAAACCATGCAATCGATAGAAGTCAGATTTAAGAAGCTAAGAGCATGATTATAGGTGATCTCTTAGAAATTAATCTTAGGAATATTTAAGTAATTTATTTGTAAAAGTGATTGTTAAGAGATAATATTTTTGAGTTAAGATTTTTGTGTGATTAATGGTAGGCTCTTAACATGTGGTTCTTAAAAAAAGTTATTAATATAAAAATAAAATTTATAATTATAGAACATTTAATAATTGTTGCAAATTAAAAAATTAATACATGAGATACAATTTATAACATAAATATATAGTGATGAATTTTTTTGGTTTGAAGTAGAATTGTTTTTGGATTTTTTTAGTAAAAAGAAAAGAACAAGGTTTGGATTTGGTTTGAGAACAAGACATTGGTGTGAAAAGAAAATATGAATGCTTGGATTTGGTTTATGAAGTCTTGTGAAAAGAACAAGGCTTAACTCAAAAAACAAGGGTTGTTTAAAGAACAAGAATTCTCGTTGGTTTAGATTTTTGTTCTTCAGATTGTAAGAAGAAAAGAGAAAGAGAGTTTTGTATTGATTTGAATAAAAGATAACAAAAGGGAATGAAAAATATAGTGTAATACATGGTGATATTTATAGCAAAGCAATCCAATAATACATGGTGTACAAAGCATAAAATGAGTACTTGTGGTCTCCAAACTTTCTAACATCAACTAAATTTCAGATACTCATGATCTTTTTCCTTGCAGCTTAATTCCCAATCAAACTGATAGATCCGAAGTGAAAGATCTTGGCCTACTGTTGAAAACTTCACCCCTTCTTTTGTCACAGAGATCACAACTGCAAAATCATAACATCAAAACCAGAATCATGATTAGATAAACCTCAATAGACCATTTCACAATCCTCACTGTGACACACCTACAGAAAAAATAATACATTACCTGTGTCACCAATACTACTGAGATCTTTGCATTTCCTGGAAAATTCACCAGAAGGCATTCTCACAATTGAGTGGTACTCAGCAGCATGTATCCCCTTATCTAAGTAACTATAGTTTTCCCGTCAAACAAAATAATAATTGTATATCGTTTTCTAACAAAGCATTTATTTTATGTCTATTGGAGCTATTTGAAGTCTTAACAGAAGAAGACTTTGCTCACAACATGGGAAGAAGACATGGAAGTCAGACGCATCAAAGATGAAAAATAAATGGGTTCAAAACTTCAATATACAATGTATCTCATGTCTAGTCATTTTTTTCCATTCACATGACAATTTTTGTTGCTATATAAAAATACATAGAGACAAATAAACAACACTGACTATAAACAAAATGGAAGAATCTTACCCAGATTAAGATTTTTGTTGCTATAGAAGAATACATAGAGACATTCATTCATGATTCAAATTACCCAGATTATACAAAGAAAATGAATTCCTTTTTCCCCAATTCCACGAACCCTACTTTCCAAATCCGACGAACCCTAATTTTAAAAACCTAAACTCACATCAATTCACACAAGTAGAGAGACATTCCTACCTTGACAAACCGATTGTCACCGATTCGAATCGAAACTCGAAGATCTCCTGCAATTATCCTCGATTTCGTAAGCCAGGAATCGCCGATTTGGTGAACCGAAGACGCCCTCGACAACCAGCATCAGTGGAGATGATGAGCTAACGCCGGAACGACGGCCGGAGGTAATTAACGTCGGCGATACCTCCGATTTGCTTGAAATTGTCTCTGGTTTTCATCTCTTTGGTGACATCGCGAAAGAGAGAGAGAAAGAGAAACGTAAAAAAGACAATAAAATCGGGCATTTATTGACACCTGTCCGCCTCTTAGGTGAATAAATGTTTCTTAGTTAAGGAACGTTACTTAACATTATCACTCTTTTCTCATTTATTTTTAATTCATTATACCCTAAGATTTAGCCTAAGAAACCACCGATAAAGATGCCCTAAGAATGATCGAAACGTCTTTGTTCTGTACTTCTGTCGGTATAAAACATATTGTCCAAAAAGCGAGACACAATTTATATATTTTCTTTTATTTTTCCCAAAGAGAAATCCTTTTTTTTTTTACAAGCAAAAGCCACACAATTATAAAAACTTTAATTTCTTTCGGAAATAAACAAAGAAAATAATTAAAAAAGTTCATGACGAAACGAAACGAAACGAAACCATCTCAACCTTAATCGCGTGACACGTGTCCGTAATACAATAACATAATGAACGGCTGAGATCCACCGAGAACATCGAAATCTTCTCAGGTCAACGGAGCAAACCAAACGGCTCCTCCGATTCATATTTTCTGAAGCTTCGCCGCTATAACCAACGGATTAGCTTTCGCGATCTCTTCGCGTCCCGCCGATTTGAAATCGAACGTGCAACCGTGAACCTCCGGATACCTATGACTCCCACAAAACGTCGTCCCGCACCGGCACATAAACCCGGTTAACCCGACCCGTTTCCTACACACGGTGCACCGATTCGGCCGTTGCGGCGGAGGAGGAGGTTGCTCCGTCGGATTTTGAACCGGCTTTTTCTCCTCCGTCTTCGTCGTCGGGATCTCTAACTCCGCCGCGTAATTTTCGAGAACAGGTGCGATCACCGGAGAGCGAGATGATTCGACGGTTGATTTGATGGAAGCTTGTTGTTGTTGTTTGAGACAGAGATCGCCGTAACAGTTTGAACAAAGATTCATTGTCGCTGAGCTTCCGAAGAAACCGCAATTGTTAACGCAAAGACGGTGACCTTCCGGTGTCTCGCATCGATGTTCTTCCGCCATAATTCTCCACAACAACAACAAAGAAAAGATCTCCGAGAAAAGTAATCAAAATCTGAAACAAAACAAAGAAGAGAGAATTAACGTGGGGAAATTTGGAATCTGGTCACCGAGTTTCTGCAGAAAATTTTTCCTGCGTTTTCTCGGCAACCAAACAGAAATGAAGATGAGATTGAGGAAAAAATAAAAAGAGAAGAGAGAGAGAGATGTGTTTTTGTGTTACCTGTTGTTGTTTCACTGAATTCTATAATGGGAGAGAGAGAAACTTAACGGCGAAATGATGATGAAGATGATGATGGACTAAATTAACTTATTCTTTTAATTCTATGATATTTTTGAGAGGTCTATTTTTACAAAACCCACTGATTTTTTTTTTTATATACTAATGTTTTGTTTGGTGGTGCCAAATTCTATTATTGATTTGAAACCGTGTTTGATGGATGATAGATACTTTGGTTAATTAAAAGAAAACTATATGAATCTGCAACACAAATTTCATTAGTGAAGACATTCTTATTTTTTCTCATTCATTATATGTAATTTTTTTTATAAGGGATATGCAATATCAGATTATAATTTATAAAAATTTGGATCGTTATATTTTATGTTGAAATGTGTATGGGGGTTACAATATATATTGCGTGCAAAGAAAAAGACAGGTTGGAAGAGGATCCAAATTTGAAGTCTTGCTTATATCTCCATCCACTAGTAATCTTATCCTCACTCTCTCTATATTATATACTTGTATCTTCACAACTTCGTCACATACCCTTCGATGTCACCATACGGGCACATAAACAATTAAAATTTGCCCAAAACTTATTTGTTTTTTATTTTCATTTTGATAAGTTATTATACTTCATCCGTTTCAAAATATAAAGCGTTTTGGAGAAACTTTTTTGTTTCACTATATAAATCGTTTTCAAGTTTTTATGCAAATTAGAGCATCTCCAACGAAGAGAAACCATAAAAGTTTCTCAAATATAATAATTTAATGTTTTTGTTATAAATAAATTATTTATTTAAATTTTAATTAATTAAAAAAAACTTTAACCAGTCAAATGATGCTAAGTGTGAGAGATAATTTCTCACATTTTCTCAAACGAGAAACGTTTCTGATTTTTTGTCTTCCTTTTTAGTATTTTTTTTATTTTTCTAATACTCCAGCTACTCTGTGAGAAACCTCCGTTGGAGGTGCTCTTGTATATTACTTTAAAATTTTATAATTATTTATATTATGCAGTCTTTTTTATGATTGGCTGAACTTTTAAAAAATAGATCTTTTTAATCAGCGTGTTTTTAGCTAAAACATCTTATATTTTGAAACGGAAGAAGTATATATTATTGTTGATACCATGTTGCATTTATCCATATCTTTGTCAATCTGACTAGTTTCTTTATCACTAAGATCAATCATAATTAATGGTTTATAAATCTAAGTCTTCATGTGATTTTTTTCTAATAGAAGTTGTAGAAAATTACTTCTTTACAACTAGACTCTATACATTTTTTGAATTAGGCTAAGATACATGTACATAGAAAAGAAGAAAGTGTTTTTTTCTTTTTTTCTTTTTGAGAATGTAATTGTAAGGTAATATGGTAGACAATGACGATTGACAACGCAAGTGTTGCATATATAAGATCCACTGCCATGATCCATCTGATCTAATATTTTTTTTTTTTTTTTTTTTGAAAACCCATCTGATCTAATATCTATCTAGTCAAGTTACATCAATTAAAGTCTAGTAATGTTCCAGAACAATATAAATAGTAAATCGTTTATATGTTTAATCAGTTTAGTAAAATTAGTAGAATATAGAGAGATAATGGAGAAGGTTGGGCTATAACAATTGGCATAATCCCATTTTCGGCCGCCAAGATTCTCGTCCGTCCCATGTTCCCACTTAACTTTCAAAATTTGTCCATTTATGATATCTTTTGACATGGACCCTCATTATTGGTTTTATGTCGGCTGGAATTTCATTTGTGTTTTATTATTATTTCAGAAGTAGCTAGTGTTTAATTTATCTAATTAAGTAATTATCTTTACATGTGTTCGGGCAGATTTTCATCTTTCCGACTGTAAGGTGCAAGCTCAATATCAACATGGCACGAGCATTTGTTGTTGATTTGGCTATTGCGTGGCTAAACATATATATGGATATTAGTCGTCTATAAATGTATGAACCTGATATAAGTTAAACATGTGATTTACATATTAATGCGACAACATTTTGAGAAAGAGGATGCATCATTATATTGAAGGAAGCAATTACAATTCATTATCCATGTTATGATGAGCATTCCTATCGTTTTGTAAGATACCATTGTCGATTCCAAGTATGTAGCCACCAAACATATTATTTTTGAATATGAATGGCGATTTTGGATATGTTCATGAAATATATCTTTTGTGATATATGGCATTAAGATGAAATGGACCCATGCATGATTCTTTTGCATACATATTTCATTTCATCTTCTTTTCTTTTTTTCCAAGGTTATAAATTTTTAATAATACTCACTCTGTTCCTAAAAGATTGATGTTATAGATTTGGTTGTTTGTTCCACAAAGATTGATTTTCTAGCAATTTATTTTATTTTTATTGACTTATAATAAGTAAATTGTAAACTTCAAGATATAATGATTATAAATCATTAATTGTCTTATTAAATTCTTAATATGTGTGAAAATTCTAAAACATCAAACAATTAGGAACACAAGGAGTATTTCTTTTATCATTCTTCCTTATGTCACAAATGTGAACTTACTTTGAGAAAACAAAAATATTTGAAGGTATTATGTTCATGTACGTGTCCATGTACAATGCATGCTATATCCATGGTTTGATTATACCACAAGTTTTTGTTGGTTTTTTCTGCGGTTGTCAGGTTGGGCATGCCACAAATATTGGTGCTTTCAGAGTCGAGATACCATTAAGACTTCTCTTTAGGAAAGTCTATGTAACCATTATTGGGTTTGTAGCCTTTATTCTATAGGAACTACTTATCACCACCCTTGTGTCTATGTTCAATGATTTTACGTAAGCACAAAGAGTAGATAGACTATTTTTGACACGATATAATTATAGAGACGAAATCAAAGGAATATTTCAAAATTAATATCAAATACCACCATCAACAAAACAAATCTAAAAATATGTGTAATATCAAGTAAAAAAAGTAGACTACTGTAGTATATGTATATAAATACTTTCATAACTTTGAATAAGTTTCTAATAAAGCAAAATCTAGGTCACATCAATATAAGCGTAAACGTGATTGCGTCAAGAGAAGGAAAGGAAGAGAAGCTTAAATTGTTAGTACTATTTTTCATTTCAGGCCCAAGATACTTTGGGCTTTTTATGTTACGTAAATAAAATTTTCGTTTTCAATATATAAAGTGGGTAATGCGTGAACGAAATAAACGTCTAGTCAAAATGCGTCGTTGGTGACATATACAAATCCACACTTGCTCTAGTTGGCATGTGACATAATTGGTTCTTTCCTCCCAATTTCCCAATCTAATAATAATATTACTATTTTTTAACATTTTCTAAGTTTCTAACCAAACCACCGTCCTAATCCCACGAAAGTTACATTTTAATCAAGAAAAAACATCTGAAATCCTATTTTAAAATTCTACTAATGAATTCATTATTTGCTAATAATTCTATTTGAAAAAGGGTTTATCGTGAAAGATAGATAACTTAAAAATGTGGCTTAAAATAAGGTTAGATTATTTTTAACAAAAAATAAAATTAGGATATTCTTGAATTTATATCCATCTGTCATCGCAAAAAGAAATAAGAAAATTGTGGCTGGACGACTCAGCAATTCGTCGTCTTCTTTGAATAAATATTCCATAATCCACTTCGATTCTGCTTTTTATATAAAGTTGAGAGCTTTCTGAGGTATATTTTTCTCGTTAAAGATTCTGAAAAAAGCTTAGACCTTTCTCATCTGATACGTATCTATAAATCTGGAAAAGAGCTGAGAGTTTCAAGGGGTTTTAAATTCGTTTCCTGGGTTTTTAATTTCTTGAGCTGAGATGGAGAATTGTAATGGTGGAATCTCAAACGGTGACGTTTTGGGTATCTCTTCGACGAAGCGTGAGAAGCTCATTATCGATACAGACCCAGGAATCGGTGAGCTTCTCTCTTCTTCCCCTGTTTTTGATTAGATGATTACGTCTCTTAGTAAATGGATCTTGATGCTTTAGTATCAGGCAGAGTAGGATTTAACCTCAGAAAGCTTCCAACTTTGTTTGATTCGAATGGTGATTTCTTGAATCTGTTTGGTCATGTGTGCTCATTTGCTTGTAAAGTTAAGATCTTTAAGCTCCAATGCTTGCTTAATAGAAAGATTCAGGGGAAATTGTTCTTTTTAGTATGTTGACTTTTGCAAATGAGTTGGGTTATGAAACAATAGGATCAGTTCTAACATTAGTGTGTGATTAGATGATAGCATGGCGATAATGATGGCGTTTCAAACACCGGAGCTGGAGATTTTAGGACTGACTACTGTGTTTGGTAATGTTTCTACACAAGATGCTACTCGCAACGCTTTACTCTTGGTATGTACAATGCATTAGTTACTCAGTCACTAGAACTTTTTTGGAATGTGTCTGTGATCTCTTTCTCTTTGTTCATTTTGCAAAAGAATAGTGTGAGATTGCTGGCTTCCCTGATGTTCCCGTCGCAGAAGGAAGTTCTGAACCTTTAAAGGTGCCATCTTTCTCTCCTCTCATAAGGATTTAACTTAGTTTATGCCGTGGAGATTTTTCAGATCTTTGGTATGAGACAAAGTCAAACCCTTGTGACTTTAGTTCGACTTCTGGCTTTGTGTGTTGATACAGGGTGGAATTCCGCGCGTTGCTGATTTTGTGCATGGTAAAAATGGCCTAGGAGATGTCTCTCTTCCCCCTCCGAGTAGAAAGAAATGTGAGAAAAGTGCAGCTGAGTTTCTAGATGAGAAGGTCTCAGAATATCCAGGTGAAGTGACCATTCTCGCCCTCGGACCTCTAACCAACCTGGCATTAGTAAGAATCATGAATCCCTCCTTTGTCTTAAAATTCGTTTTGTGTATTGAACATAACGGTATTTTCGTTTTAGGCCATCAAACGCGATAGTTCATTTGCGAGTAAGGTGAAGAAAATTGTTATTCTTGGTGGAGCTTTCTTTTCTTTGGGAAATGTCAATCCTGCAGCTGAGGCTAATGTAACCCCCCTTGTAACCTCTTATTAGTCTTCTGTTAATGGAAAAATGCCAGTTTCATTTTGTCGGTCTCTGCTCTATACGCAGATATATGGTGACCCGGAAGCAGCTGATGTCGTGTTCACATCTGGAGCGGA